CAGGCTGAGTAAGGTGCCATTTAAAGATAACCTAGCCCTCCCCACCTGCACCACTGGCTAGGATGGGCTCCTGAGGCCAGGCCTTGGCTGCCTGGGACTGCTGCTGCTCTCACAGCCACCCAGAGTGTGCCTGAGGAGGGGGCTGCTCACAGCTGCCATCCAAGCCAGACTGGCTACACTCCCTTCTTTCCTGAGGCCCAGGCTGTCCTGGGCACTCTACAAGCAAGCAGAAGCCTGGCATTCTGGGAGAGGTAATTCCACAAAGGCATTGGTAAAAAGTCCTTCTGGAGAAGGGTGCTTCATACATATATATGTATGCATATAAATTTACAGGGTACTGGCGCAACTTTGTTACATGGAAGAGTGCTCCTTCTTACCAGCAGGTGGGCCACAGTGAGGCTGATCCTCACTGTCCTTCACCCACCCTCCACTTGCAAATCCCTTCCACCCAGAGGACAAACACAGGGACGGTCTCATTTACAGCAAGAAAGATTAAAGCTAGACGCCAAGAAAAGCGTTCTGATTTAAAACAGATATTTACTTATTCTGGGCAATGAGAGCCAAAAGCCCAACTAAGTCATGAGACCTTGGCCAAGTCCTGGCGCTTTCCTGGTCCTTACTCTTCCTAGCTGTGGACTACAAGGAGAATTAGTATGTCCAAGACTCTCCAGGAAGGGTGTGACATTAAATCAGGACAGGGCCAGGTGTGGTGGCTCATGCCTATACCCAGCACTTTGAGAGGCTAAGGCGGGTGGATCACCTGAGGTCAGGAGTTCGAGACCAGCCTGATCAACGTGGAGAAACCCTGTCTCTACTAAAAATATAAAATTAGCCAGGCATGGTGGTGCATGCCTGTAATCCCAGCTACTTAGGAGGTTGAGGCAGGAGAATCACTTGAACCCGAGAGGTGGAGGTTGCGGTGAGCCGAGATTGTTCTGTGCTCCAGCCTGGGCAACAGGAATGAAACTCCGTCTCAAAAAAAAAATGGCCAGGTGCAGTGGTTCATGCCTGTAATCTCAGTACTTTGGGAGGCCAAGGTGGGTGGATCACAAGGTCAGGAGTTCAAGACCACTCTGGCCAACGTGGTGAAACCCTGTGTCTACTAAAAACTGCAAAAATTAGCTGGGCTTGGTGGCAGGTGCCTGTAATCCTAGACAGCAGAGGCTGCAGTGAGTCAAGATCATGCAGCACTACAGCCTGGGCAACAGAGTGAGACTCCATCTCAAAAAAATAATAATAATAATAAGAGGAAAAGAGGAAAGAAGGCAGGGTCCTATGGAGGGAGAGAGTGTTATCTGTCTGCAGGAGTTGGGTTGCCAGAGTCTGGGCAGGGAGGAAAAGGAAAAAGTAGGGAAGAGTAAAGGAGAGTGTGCTCCTGAAGAGTACTGACTGACCAGAGGCAGAAATTTGGAAAGGAATGGAGTTTCCCTTATCTTGGAATGGCTCAACTCAAACCACCCACTAGACAAAAGTGAGGCAGGAGCCTCCATAGTCAGACAACAGGGGTGGGGCAGGAGCAGGGTGGGATGGAGGCTCCAGGGCCCAGGGCCGGGGAAAGTAAGGAGGGCCTCAGGAATGCCTGTGTCAATCTGCTCTGATAGAAAGAGGAGCATGGAAGGGGTTGGGAGGAGCCTTGGGCTGTCATTCAGCCCAGAAGTGAGGTGGCTCAGCAGAGCACTCCTACCACAGCCCCCAGCCAAGCCCAAACTGGGTCACAGGCATGGTCCCAGCCCTTCCGCTCCTCCTATCCTTCCCCACTCCAGATATCCCTGGCTACCTTCTCACCACATGCAGAGGCCTGCTAGAGATAAGGGCTGGGCATCAAAGTTGCCCTGAGGACATCCTCTTTGTTTCAGGCATAGCACTGAGTATTTTAGACTTTGTTGTTGGTGTTGTTGTTTTGTTCAAGACAGAGTTTCACTCTTGTTGCCCAGGCTCGAGTGCAGTGGTGTGATCTTGGCTCACTGCGACCTCCACCTCATGGGTTCAAGGAATTCTCCTGCCTCAGCCTCCCAAGTAGCTGAGATTACAGGCATGCGCCACCACTCCCAGCTAATTTTGTATTTTTAGTAGAGATGGGGTTTCTCCATGTTGGTCAGGCTGGTCTCGAACTCCCAACCTCAGGTGATCTGCCCACCCTGGCCTCCCAAAGTGCTGGGATTACAGGTGTGAGCCACTGCGCCTGGCCCTTTACACTTGTTTAAAGAGAAGCATGTGGTGAAGTTGAAGGGCCTGGGCTTTGAAGCCACAAAAGTCCAACTGCAAATCCCAGCAGTGTGAGCTGGGGGAACTAAACTTCCAACTTCAGTTTCCTCATCTGTACAATGGGATGAGCTCATTGGCAATGTTTGCTGCTGGTGTTATCACTACCGTCATATTCCAGACACCCTGGGGAGAACCTCCTGCCGGCAAAGCCTATGTTTTGTCTTAAGTGATCACAGATTACTCTGCCTCCTCTTTTCAGGGAAAGGATTTCTTTCCCTTGCTGGGGATTAAGAGACCAGCTTGGTGAGAGGATATTCCTGAGTGCCCTTACCTGGAGAAGGTGTAGAGAAGCCCTTCCAGGCTTGAAGATTTAGACAACCACTTCCAGGGCCCCCAGTCCTCCCACCCAAGTCCCTCCCCACTCCTGGCCAACTCTATGGACTCTTTCAGGACCCAGGTTCATTTTGGTGACATAAGCTAGCCCCAGCTCTCCATCTCCAGGCTCCAGCAACTCTCATCAAGGTAAGAAGTGCCAGTTCTCCCAGTGTGGCCAGTTCTCCCCTCTGGTTGACCCACAGCCGCTCTCTTCACTCTCTGTCCTAGTCTAGTCATCTCCCATTTCATGAACCGAAACACATTCTTAGAATTTTGCAATTAGAGCCAGGTGCAGTGGCTCACGCCTGTAATCCCAATACTTTGGGAGGCCGAGGTGGGTGGATCACCTGAGGTCAGGAGTTTGCAACCAGCTTGGCCAGCAGGGTGAAACTCCATCTCTACTAAAAATACAAAAAAATTATCCAGTCATGGTGGTGCAAGCCTGTAGTCCCAGCTAGTCAGGAGGCTGAGGCAGGAGAATTGCTTGAACCCAGCAGGTGGAGGTTGCAGTGAGCCAAGATCACGCCATTGCACTCCAGTCCTGGAGACAGACTAAGACTCTGTCTCAAAAAAAAAAGCATTTTGCAATTAGTAAATCACTGATGATGTTTGTGTATGCTAGGTGTCATTGCAAGCTGGAAGTGTCAACTAGGGGTATACGCTTTGAGGAGAACTAGTTGGATAAAAAAGCAGAAAAGCAGGAAAGTAGCTAGAGAAGGATGAGTTTTAGGAAGAAGGTGGTTTGGTTTGGTTTGGTTTGGTTTAGTTTAAATAGGAAAGACTTGAGATTTTATTTTCCTAAGGAAAAGAAGCTGGTAAGGTAGGAGAAGCTAAAGACACTAAAGAGAAAGAGTAATGAAGAGACAGATCAGCAGGGGCCAAGGGTACACATGGGAGAGTCAGCCCTGGGCAGGAAAGACAGCACTTCATCTGAGGATGATTCAACCAACAATGACTGAGCACTGATGGCAAGGGCTGGGTGGTAACAGTGAACACAGCCACGTGGTCCCTGCAGTCATGGAGCTTTTAGTGTAGGAAAGAGGAGATGGATGACAATGGGCACACTGAGTAGGTGGTGCTGGATTCAGAGGCGTCTCTCTCTGTCCCTGCTGCTGCATTCGTGACTTTGTCCTGTGTGAGGACATACTCTTGCCCATCAGGCTACCAGCAACTTTCTGGGGCAGGAGCCTATCCTCTCCTATTCCAGCTCTCTTGGGTAGGTAGCCCCACAGGGGCCCAGGATGGGATAGCTCCTCTTTTGGCTGTCCTTCCCTAACCTACTAAGATTCTGCTGGGCCTTCCATGGACCTGCCCTGGTTCTCTCACCCCAGAATACAAGAAACACTTGCTGTCTGCACTGTTGCGGCTGGGGATCAACCATGATTTAAATCTGGGTCTTCTGATGCCTCTACCATTTACCATTTACTGTCTGTATTACCTTGAACAAGTTCTTTAACCTCCATGAAACCTAGTTTATCTGTCTGTGAAATGGGATTGATAACACCACCTCGCTTAGTTCATGGAATTGTGGAAGGATTCCAGTGAGGTAGATGCGGAAGTCTGGAAGTACATGAAAAGGGCGTACATGGCAGGGGATTAAAGTAGGCTTTTGATGTTCTCATGACTTAATTTGCAGTTCCTATGAGGGTACCGCAAGTAGCATGGGGCATAGTCACTAGCACTCAGTATAAATCTGTGAGGGGACTGATTGACCTCTCCCACCCTAAAACACTGTTTCCACCTGGAATTAACGGTTGCCCAGTTGGGCACAGTGGCTCAAGCCTGTAATCCCAGCACTTTGAGAGCCCAAGGCGAGTGGATCACCTGAGGTCAGAAGTTCCCTGCCAGTCTAGCCAACATGGTGAAACCCTGTAAAATACAAAAAATTAGTGAGGCATGGAGGTAGACACCTGTAATCCCAGCTACTTGAACCTGGGAGGCAGAGGTTGCAATGAGCTGAGATCACACCATTGCACTCCAGCCTGGGCAACAAGAGCAAACAACCATCTCCAGAAAAAAAAAAGAAAGAAAGAAAGAAAAGGAAAGAAATTAACAGTTGCCCTCCCTATGCTCCGGTGGCTATTGCAGTACAGACTTGCTCTATGAAGGGTTTTCACTGTGAAGAGTGTTTAACTGGATGGGCCCCAGGTGGCCCCAGCAGCCTGCCATCCCTGCCAGTGAGGCCATGGGCTGGTGCATGCCAGCGCTGTCCACTTGAAGGGGGAAGGGTCCATCATCAGGAGCCAGTGCAGCTGGCAAGGTCCAGGCCTGTGGGCACCGCTGGGGACAAAGCCACTCTGAATGCCTCTCAATGAGTGCTTGTGTTCGGGAATGGGGGCGGGGTGACATCCAGCCTCTTTCCCTTTCCACCCCCCACAGGATGTCCCAGGCTGGACAGGGCGGAGGAGGTCCCCTACAAGGGAAGGTCCAGCCCTGCCCCTCCAGGGTTGGCCCATGTGTCTGGGCATTCGGAGGTGGCACCAGGATCAGGACTTATAGAGTCTAGCATACTGATTGGACCCAGGCCGGGGGCAGGTCCAGAACACAGCGAGACTTCCCTGGCCGCAGTGCCCAACTGCCCGCAGTGCCCATGGTGGCTCGGACGGGAGGAACTACAGCGGAACCGGGGACTGGGGGAGCAGGGCAGTGCTCTGCTGGGTGAGGGGCGCCCAGCTCCAGAGCCGGGGCTAGGTGGGCGTCGCTGGTGGGTGGACTCCTGGGCGCTGCGCGGAGCCGCGCCGGCTGGGTTAGCGCGGGCGGGGGCGCTTAGTCCCGCCCCCAGAGGAGGCGGAAGAGGAGCCCGAGCCTGGCCGCGGGCTGGGCCCCGCCGCAGCTCCAGCTGGCGGGCTTGGTCCTGCGGTCCCTTCTCTGGGAGGCCCGGCCCCGGCCGCGCCCAACCCCCGCCATGCCACCCGCGGGGCTCCGCCGGGCCGCGCCGCTTACCGCAATCGCTCTGTTGGTGCTGGGGGCTCCTCTGGGTAAGGGGATGGGGAGTGATGCGGCGGGGTCGGGTGGGATAGGGGCGGAGGAAGTGGAGGGGCAGACCTGAGGGGCTTGGGCGCGGGGCTTCTCGAGACCCTTCGGCTGCCACTGGAGCCGTGGGTGCTGCTGGGTCCTGAAGCAGCGGGAAGAGGGAGCGCCAGGATGTTGGGCCATGGGAGCTTGACCCCAAGATGCAGGGTCAGCTTTAGGCAAAGGCCTCTGAGGCTCCGGGGCTGAGACCCTCAGGGTGGAGACAAGGGGCAACCGTCAGTTTTCGGGAGCCAGCGGGCTGGGGACCGCCGGGGGAGTGGGGCTGAGGGTGACTGGGGTTGAACTGGCCTGGAGGCCACTGGGCACCCCCAACCCCTGCCCGCAGCGCTGGCTGGCGAGGACTGCCTGTGGTACCTGGACCGGAATGGTTCCTGGCATCCGGGGTTTAACTGCGAGTTCTTCACCTTCTGCTGCGGGACCTGCTACCATCGGTACTGCTGCAGGGACCTGACCTTGCTCATCACAGAGAGGCAGCAGAAGCACTGCCTGGCCTTCAGGTGGGTTCCTGCCTCCTCACCCTCACGCCCTCCTCCATCCTTTTCTCCAGAGGCATCCCTTCCTCCCTTCCGGACTCCTGCCTCCTCTCCATTGTCCACCTCCACATTCTTAGCTGAATGGAGTCACAAGGACTCCAGCTTGGCTACAGAGCTAGGTGCTTAGGTGCTGGTGCCTTGGAGTTCCAGAAAAGGCATGTTAGTTACCTTCATGGGCTTTGGTTGGGCCAGGGGTTTCCAGGTTCTTTCTGGAACCCTCCTTCCCTTCGGTCCTGCCAGGTCCTGGGGAGGGAGGATTCAGGGTCAACACCTGGATGACAGTGTAGCTTTGTGGGAAAAGCTCTGGCACAAAGGCAGGAGACTTGGGTTTGATTCCGAGGTCCACTTCTTACTAGTTGTGTGATCTTGGAGAACACTTGCCTTCTGTGGGTCATTGCTTCCTCTTTGTAAAATGAGCAGGTTGCCAAAATTAGTGGTTGTCAAACTTTTTAAATATATCACATATAAAATAGATGTAGAGACTAATGATTGAAGTGGAGTTTGGAAAAATGGCTCTAGATTATTTCTAAGGTTCCTTTCAGTGATATTTTGCTGTATGTCTGATTATTTAAGTTATAGATACAAAAGCAATGGTTGGGGCGCACTGCAAATCCCCGTATGCCTCACACTAGCCAGCCAGGCAGCACAGCCTTCTGGGAAGTAGAGGTCCTCTAAGATCTCCTTCACAGGGACTGGGCAGAGCCCCACAAGGAACCCCAAATCTCAGCATGCTGTGACCCCCCTGCTGGCCAGGAGTTGGAGCCAGCATAATGAGGACTCCCTCCTATGAGTGTTGGAAGGTGAGAGGACCTGTTCTTTGTCTAAAGTCCCAAGACCATAGCAGGCATCGCCTCGGCCGTGATCCTCTTTGTTGCTGTGGTTGCCACCACCATCTGCTGCTTCCTCTGTTCCTGCTGCTACCTGTACCGCCGGCGCCAGCAGCTCCAGAGCCCATTTGAAGGTATACTCAGTACTGGGCAAGATGGGCCTCAGATGGGCTGGGCTAAGCCCCATAATGGGCAGCAGAGAGTTCGTGGATTGGGTAAATTCTGTAATAGTATGTGCTTCTGTATACACACATCTGCCAGCATGAAAACCCAGACCAATGCTTGTAAACCCATGAATATTAGAATGTGCCCAGGGGTATATGGAACATCAGACTGTGTGCATTTCTGTGCATGCACGTGAATATTCAGATGTGTACAGGAGTGCAGTCTGTCGGCAATAGTGAGTGTAGTGGGTGTATGCATGCACATGACTCTTAGTAAGGAGTCGGTTCGGTAATGATGAACATTAATTGAATGTGCCCCAGTGGACAGCAGAATATGTGCCTGAGTGTAGGCATGTGATGCACATATGCCCCAACCTGATGACTTGGGGATGGTGACACCATATGGGAGGTCAGTGTAGGAGGGAAGGCCTAAGAGAAGACCCCCTTAGGGGAAGCTCTGCCGGATTACAGGATACCAGCCTTGAGTTGTTCCCTCCTTGCCCAAGTGGGACATTCCCTGGGCTGTGCTCCCTGGTTCATGAGCTCTCTGAAACCTGCTGAGCGGAGCAAACTTGCTAAATGCAGATTGACCAGCTGGGGCCACTGCACAGCTCCCTGCCCAACTCTGCCAAGCAGGGTGTGGAAGGCAGAGGTGGTCAGCCTGGAGCTTGCCAGAGGCCAGCCCCAGGGTGCTTACCTTGGTTTCCTGGGCAGGAGGAGGCTTCCCATAGCAGATGGGTCTCTGAATACTGATCCTTCTCCTCCTACCTAGGCCAAGAGATTCCAATGACAGGCATCCCAGTGCAGCCAGTATACCCATACCCCCAGGACCCCAAAGCTGGCCCTGCACCCCCACAGCCTGGCTTCATGTACCCACCTAGTGGTCCTGCTCCCCAGTATCCACTCTACCCAGCTGGGCCCCCAGTCTACAACCCTGCAGGTAAGTAAGCAATCCGGAGCCCCTTGCTGCTGTCTTCCCCGACCCCTTGCCCTGGGACCTCCCCTGTGCCTCTCTCATTCTCAGATTCCCTCTCCCAGACTTCCTCCACCTCTAGCCAGAAACCTCCAGGCCCACTCTTCCCTATGGGTCCTGTCTGACCCCAGGGGTAGGGGGTTACTTTTCATCCACCTATGCCACCCCTCACCCTCATCCTTTCTCTTTGGCTTTCAGCTCCTCCTCCCTATGTGCCACCACAGCCCTCTCACCCAGGAGCCTGAGGAATCAGCCGTGTATCTGCTGCCCCCTTCAGTGATGCCAACCTTGGGAGATGCCCTCATCCTGTACCTGCATCTGGCCCTGGGGGTGGGCAGGAGTCCTCTAGTCACCAGGCTCCAGACCAAGCCAAGTCCTGGACACTACTGGGGACAGGGCCCCAGGGAAATGGAACAGGAGCTGAACTAGAACCATGACAGGTTGTGAGGGAGGGCTTGGGATTGTGGGCTGTTTTTACTGGGAGCAAGGGAGGGAGGTGGCAGCCTGGGTCACAGTGCCTGTTTTCAAATAGTCCCTCTGCTCCCAAGATCCCAGCCAGGAAGGCTGGGGCCCCACTGTTTGTCCCCTCTAGGCTGGAGTTGGGGCAGGGAGGAGGTTCCATCAGCAGCTGGCAGTAGCCATCCTCTCTGGCTGCCCCACTGGCCAGGACTCTGGCTGCTGGATTAAAGCTGTGAAGACATAACTCATATCAGTCGCGTCATTGGGTCCATCTGCATCTTCTAGGAGCACTGCCTTCAGCTAGGTCCAAACTGCTGCCCCCGCATATTCCAAAAGTAGGGGAGGGCCAGCACCAGCACCGGAGCACAGCACCATCCTCACCCCCATCCACAGGCAGAAGGAGGGGAGCTGGATGGTTCCTGGGCTGCTTCCTAAAGCCAATGAGGTGAATTTTACCACAGCTCTGAAGAGCTGTCATTTGCATTACAGAGATTCCCTGCTAGGGGTCAACAGTTCTACTACAGCAGAGGCACTGCTAACTGTACAAAGGCTGTTCTCCCAATCAGGTACCCTTAGATTCATTTTGGGCCCCACCACTTTCTGACCTTGGTCATGTCGCCAAAGGTCTCCAAGCCTCAGTGTCCTCATCTATTGAATGGGGATAGGCTGGGCATGGAAGCTCACACCTGTAATCTCAGCATTTTGAGAGGCCAAGGCAGGCGAATCATCTGAGGTCGGAGTTCGAGACCAGCCTGGCCAACATGGTGAAACCCTGTCTCTACTAATATATATAAAAAATTAGCCAGGCATGGTGGCAGGCGCCTGTAATCACAGCTACTCCGGAGGCTGAGACAGGAAAATTGCTTGAACCCAGGAGACGGAGGTTGCAGTGAGCGAGATTGTGCCACTGCACTCCAGCCTGGGCAACAAGAGCCAGAATCCGTCTCTAAGTAAATAAACAAATAAATAAAATGGGGATAATACCTCATGGCTGTCATGAGGATGAAATATTATGTACATGAAACTGTTAGTCCTGTCCTTTCCTTCCTGATTAGAGAACCTAGGACTAGGAGGCAAGTGGAGACACTGCTCATGAAGACACTTGTGCCAGGTGCTCCTGTCAGTTGCTTGGATCACCAGTTCCCAGGTGCACGGAGCCACACAGCGGGAGATATGACCTTTTCTCCCCGTCCTCTCACAAATGCTGCCTAGAAATGCTCCTGTCCTGGAGCTGACTGGCTGTCCTCCCTTTCCCTGCTCCCCGAAGTCATGGTCCTTGTGCTCTCAGGACTTGTCTGGTGACAGATCCAGGAAAGGAGGTTTTATCATTTTTAATTCAAGTGGGAAACATGTCAACTTAGCTTGGCAAAGCCCCACCAATGAAGAGCTCCATCCCCTCCCCAAGCTCCTTATCCAAGTATCCCCTAAGCCCAGCCCTCTTTTTCTCCCCATCCCTGGGTACTCCAGCCCCACTGCAGCCTCAGGCTCTGCTCTCCTGCCCTGCCCCCTCAGACCTCTGGGCTCCTGCAGCCCAGCTGGGTTCTGGATATGGCTGACCATGCCCCCAGGGCCTTCTGCCACCCACATAACCTTGAGGATTACCTCTTGTCACACAGCCTGGAAGGCAAGAGCTCCTGAGCCAGGGTTTTGGGGCCAGGGTCAGAAATTCCCCTCTATGGAGCTCTACCCCTAGATTCACAGCTTTCCCCTTCGCAGTGAAATCTTCATGGGGTCCACATGTCTGCCCCTGGATCAGAACCAGACAGGGAGAGGCTGCTGATGCTGGAAGAGACAGTGCTGAGGCCACAGATACAAATCCACTTTCTCTGTGAGGTTGGGGACAAGAGGTGGGAGCTGGAGCCCTGGAGTGCCTGGGTCACAATTTAGGAAAGAGGGTCTCCAGGTCATCTGAGGTTTGGAGTCCAGTCTCCTCTCTGCTGGAAGAGATCTACACATTAAGGTATTTTAGTTTCTCCAAGAAATGATGTGTAAATATATGCAAGTTGATGCCAGTCAGAATTAATTATCCTTCAATCAACAACCTGGTGCCAGTGAAGAAATGCTTTGTAGTCTGGGGTAGGAGGCAGGTTTACCCCAGTCATAGTTGAGACTGGAAGAGTGAAGTTGCCTCATTTCCAGTCAGTTAACTCTGCAAAAAACAAGAGAATTCTAAGAAACGGAGCGAAACTGTGACAGAACAGGACTTTCACATGCTCTGAGCAGTGAAGATGGCTCTCACATATCCTGGAGTTCTTTAAATGGAGGCAACGACCCTACATCTCTTTCCAAAGCAATGCAGTGCCCTCCGACCTCACGAGGGGAGCCCAGCAGGGCCACGGGAGCACAGAGCTGTAGTTGCCCCTCCGGATTGCCTTGTTCCTCAACTAGCACCCCTGAAAGCCAGTCAGGCACCCTATTAGGACAGGCAGGAGTGAGGGTGGGAGGGGCAGTGTCCCTCAAGGATTGGGGGACCTCAGTAGTGTCAACAGGTTCCTCCTATGCTGGGAAGAAATGGTGAATTCTCCAAAGGGCAGTCTGGAAGGCATATGTGGATAACAGGGGCATTTTTATTTTTATTTTTTAAGACGGGGTTTCACCATGTTGGTCAGGCTGGTCTTGAACTCCCGACCTCAGGTGATCCGCCCGCCTTGGCCTCCAAAGTGCTTGGATTACAGGCGTGAGCCACCACGCCTGACCAAGGGTGCATTTTTAGATAAAAACAAGAGGAATGCATTCTTAGGGCAGGAATCTCACCAGGCTGGGCCTGCTCCAGGGAAAGCAGATCTTACAGAGGAATGGGAAGGGTCAGGTGCAGGGAGGGAGCTAGGGCAGGGACACGTGGAAATACAATGGGCAGGAGGGAAATATTGGCAGGAAAGGAGAGACACCCTGGGGGAGGGGAGAAGAGGGGCCAAGAGGTGAACAGAAGTGAGGCATGTGGGAGAGTGGACACTTCAGGCAAGGAGTAACAGACAGAGGGGCAAGTAAGGGAAGGGCCCTAGAGGGCTGGAGGAAGGAGGGAGGGAGGGAGAAGAGGGCCATAGGCAGGATGAGTGGGAGGTGCTGGGGGAGGCGTACTGAGCGGGGCCACACTCTGGGCCACTCTTAGGCCAGCAGCCTGGCCCAGCACCATAGCCATACAGGTGCTAGTCAGGCCAATGTCAGAGGTCGGGTCCTCAGCCTGGCCATGCCAGTGCAGAGTACGGGGTAGCACAGGGCACTCCCGACTTGGTGGTCTAGAAGCTCGTGGGTGACCTGCATCCAGATCTCATGTTGCTTAGAGTGCCACATGTGTGACACAGTGCCCAGGCCTAGAGCCCCTTGCTCACCTGCAGGTGGAGCTTCTGTGACGACAGGTGAGGCCAGCACCTTGACAGCTACTGGTGCCTGCCATCCCACCCACAGACAGCACCATGGCCTAGGTCCCAGTGCTGGCATCTCTTGGAGCAGCCTAGGGAAGATGGAGGGAAAGACACTTTTCCCATCTAGATAGGGTCAAGAGGCAAGAAGCTTGGGGTGTAACAGCTGGGCCCTGTGGGCCAGGAGAGCTGGGAGGTGAAGCCTCCCTCCCTTGGGGGTAAGAGCTAGGGAATGTGATCCCCCAGGAAGTGATGGAGGGTGAGGAGGCAGAGTGGAGGATATGACAGTGGGGGCTTCAGGCAGAGACTGTGGAGGTCAGACCGTGGCTTCTCCCAGGTTGGTAGATTAACCCAAAGGTAGGAGACTTGGGTTCAAATCCTGATTCATCAACTTGGACAAGTCATTTGCTGTCTTCAGACCTCTTTTTTTGTCCCCGTACAGTACAGGCATCAGACAAGGATAGAGCCTTTCTGGCTTTTCCTCCCTAAGTTTTAGGAAAGGAAGCTGGACAGATGGATGACTGCCAGCGCTGGTGGGGCAGGTGGGCAGCAGTGGGTGCATGACCCAGCAGAAATGAAGCCCCCCGGAGTTTGGGCCCCTTTTCCACAGCTCAACAGGCTATCCACCCATCTTCTCCTCCTCCTCCCCCAAACCGCCTCCCTCCCCTGTCCCTAGTACAGCTCCAGCGCGCTCCTGGCGCAGCTGGAGAATCTGGGTTGCGGTCCACCCCCAGGTGGCGCTGCGCTCCCGCATCAGGTTCAAGTGCACCAGAGGAATGATGACATCCCTCATCCAGGGTGGAAACAGCATCCTGCAGGAGAGTGGAGGCAGAGGGCAGCACACTTGTTGCCGGGACAGTGGGGAGTGGTTTTTCTCTCTGGCTAAATTATGTTTGAAGCTTGGTAGAAAGGCCTTCCTAAGGTGACAGGTTCCACTGGAGCCTTAAGATTTGGAGGCAGGTTGTTTGGGTTCAGGTGAGCGTCCAGTGCTTTCCCGCAGCACTGCTAACTGCCTTATTTCAGTGAGGGAAGGAAGGGGAGCTGTTATCAGAAGCAGTTCTATGGCCTGAAGACCTGGGCTCAAAACAAAAACAACAAACGAAAAAGACCTGAGCTCTGCCTTTTATTAGCTGTGTGATCATGGATATATTAGTTAACTTCTCTGGGCCAAACTTTATCTGCAAAATAGAGAGACTATTGGTATCCACCTCACAGAGATGAAGGATCAGCTGAAGCTACCTAAAGCATGTAGCTAGTGCCCAGCGCCCAGCAGGCACAGGGGGTGCAGTGGGGCTGACAGGGGAAGCTCTAGCCGGCCTTAGCTCAGCTCATATCCTTTAGATCCAGGAGCCAGTGTGTGTCTGTCTCCTTTCCTCTGGGCCCAGTGATTGCTGAGGTGGCTGGAGTGACAGGCAAGTAGATGGAGGGAATGGGGAAGAGTGTGCCCTGGGATCTGAGGGCTTTACCCCAGGACTAGACTGCCTTCTGGTTTTGGTCAGACCCAGCACAGCGATCTTGCTTCCTAGCTGGGGCACCCCACCCTCACCTCAAAGATGGTGAAACTGCTGTGCCTCCTGCTGTTGAGGCAACCTGGAGGTAGAAAAACCTACAAGTGACACAGACCCAAGGTGGTAGTTCCACAGTGCCAAGGGGTGCCAGCATCTTCAAGAGAATGAAATTCAGAAAGATGCCTTTCATGTACCCCCGACAATGGCCAGGGCAGCATCGTCAGCATTCCTGCAGTTGGGGCAGGAAGCGGAATTGGTGAGTAGGTGGGGAGGGCTGGGGAAGATGAGGACCCTCTGAGCCTTAAGGCACACGGGTATGGGAGCTACTCCCCAAACAGTCACTCCACTTCTTTGCCGGCTGCCTTCCTGGGCCTGTGACTGTTGTGAAGACCTGGCCCTGAGCCTGTGGTTAGGCAGAGTCACGGAATGAGCATCCCTGAACATGCCTAATATAGCCTTCCCGGTGCCCTGGGCTCCACTCTGCCCCAGCACCCCTGAGAACAGCTCTGGCTACTGACTCCAGGCAGCAGGACTGGTTCAGGAGCAGGTAGAGGCCTTCTAGCCCTAGACAACCAGGTCAGTGGAGAGTCTTCTGCTCAGAGTTCAGATTCTCCTCCATGCTGTACTTTCTGAAAATGTGAATTTATTTCACGGCCAACTCAAATCGTGTGGCAGGGGACGTGAGCTCCAGGAAGTCCAGGGTTAGGATCAGGACTCACAGTTCAGGACAGCAGGTAGGGCATAGCCATTCACAGCTAAAGGTTTGTATATATTATCAAAATCTTATGGAAAAACAGATACACAGCTATTTATACAATAGCAGGTAGGTATGAGGAAAGTGTCTGCTTTGGCATGAAACCTTCAAGTCCAGCTGCTGTCTGTCCCACTCCTCCTATCTGGAGCCTACTACCCACCAGGCACTGTCCATTCAGGCCACTGCCCCTGCCATGTCCTCTGAATGGCCTGGGCTTTGGGGTATCCTCAGCCCCTCCCCACACTCCCCTTTGGGCCCCCATGCCTCTCCATCTTTCTGCCATTGTCCCACACAGAGTGCCACTGGCCCAGCGGCTTTGCCCATGGGCTCCTCAGAGGCCTGAATCCTGGCCCTGGAGGGCAGTGGGGCTGGGGTGGATGTGGTCCCTGTGGGACATCTTTCCTGGATCACAGGCCTTTTGCAGCTTGCCAACTACATGGGCCCTGGACAGTGCCATCTTCTCAGCGATGTGCTAAAAGGACTCTTCTTGTCTGGAAACCTGAGCTCCAGGTACAAAAGAAAAATGTGGAGAGCCTCAGAGACAAGAACAGGAAAGTGAGAAGAGATAAGGCATCCTTCCTTGAGCGTGACCTAGGCCTCGACTCTCCCATGGCAGAATAGGGACATCCACAGCAGGTCAGCCAGGGACGGGGTGGGCAGGGTCTGTGTAGCCCTGGGAGGTGAGGCCTGAGCAGTCATGGCATTGGCAGATGGTGCCTGGCAGCCTGGTCCTACTGAAGCAGTTTCGGCACTTCCACCTGTAGGGGCAAAGAAGAGCCAGGTTAGAGAAGGGAGCTCAGCCACCTCACCTCCCTCCCTACTGGAAGGACACACCAGACACTACAATGTGTTATGTCTGTGGAATGTGAATGAGGTGTTGACACTAAGGGAGCATTTTTCCTTGTCTGTAAAAATTGAATGTCATCGAGTGACCACTGGAATTACAATTGAGGTTGTCCTTTATCTCATGATGTCTTGTCCCAGATGATGTGGGGGGCAGGTATCCAGTCAAATGGACAAATGGTTATGGACTCTGTCACCCAGGCCAGACTTCCAGGGGAGGCAGGGCTTTGAGAAGTAGGGTGTCCAGGAATGGCTCCTGTGTCCATAGCACTGGCTAGACAAAGGCAGACTCTCCTGAGAGGTGAATCTCCCAGAGACGGTTTAGATGGAGTGACCTGTAGGACTCCTGCTCCTGAGAGGAGGCTGAGTAAAACATGGATAATCTTCGTCTGGGGGAATGGAGAAGAGAAGACTTAAAGGAAGGACCCGAGGCAAAACTGCTCTGTAGAGGCCATTTCTCCATTTCAAGGAGAAACAGGCTTAACTGCAGGATGAAAGAGAAGCATGGAGTGGGGGGGCTAAAGGAAGCTCCTTAAAGGAAGAGTAGAGTCAGCCAGGCCCGGTGGCTCATGCCTGTAATCCCAGCACTTTGGGAAGTCGAGGCGGGCCGATCATGAGATCAGGAGTTCAAGGTCAGCCTGGCCAATGTGGTAAAACCCTGTCCCTACTGAAAATACAAAAATTAGCTGGGCATGGTGGCAGGTGCCTGTAATCCAAGCTACTTGGGAGGCTGAGGCAGGAGAATCACTTCAACCCGGGAGATGGAGATTGCAGTGAATGGAGACCATGCCATTGCACTCCAGCCTGGACAACAGGCTCCATCTCCAAAAAAAAAAAAGGGAGGGGTAATAGGGTATGTACAGGTGTGGCCTGCCTGTAAGCAGGAGGATGCATGAGATGACCTGCAGTCCCCTATGGGCCTGAGGGTTTGTGTTGTCTGCAGCCGACACATTCCCTTTTGCAGTCCTGCCCTCTCCTCCAGGCCCTACCCAGCCTTGCCCTGTTGGCTCATGCCTGTAACTACTTAACTTCTTGAGCTGCTTGAGGTTGCTGGAGCGGATGGCGGCCAATAGCTGGTCACGGGAGTTCTTCTCCTGGGCAGGGAGGACTTTGTCTCCCATCTTCCTCTGAGTAGCTGGTGAGAGTGAGTTCTTCAGGTTCTCCATGATGAGGGGTGGAGCCAAGGGTGGGGGAGGGGGGGGTGGGGCAGCTGGAGCACCCCCTTTTTTGGGTGAGTTCTTTGGAGAGGGCTTTGGAGATGGTTTAGGTGAAGGTTTTGGGGAGCCCTTGGCCAGAGCCCCCGCCTTGGGTACCTCCAGCAGATCCTTCTTCTCTCCCTTGGCTTCCTGTGCCTGCCTTTGCTCCTGCAGCCGCTTTTGTCTCTGCTTGTCCATGTTGCGGCTGAGCAGATTGGTGACGGTCATTCGGGGCCCAGCCAGCTCAAAATGGTAGCCCAGCTTGAGCAGGGTAGTATTCTCCTTCAGCAGCTTGGCGATCTCCATCTCTGTCTTGCCTCCACAGATGTGTCGCTGGTTGTGGAAGCGGAGCTCGGTCAGCGTGTTGTTCTGCAGGAGGGCCCGGAAGATGGCCAGGATACCTTTGCCTGTGATGTGGTTGGAGTCCAGGTTGAGGCTGGTGATGGTCTTGTTGGCCTTGAGCATGATGGCAATGGCAAAGGCCACGTGGTCATCCGCTCGCGTGTTGGCCAAGGCGAACACCTTGACCACAGTGTTGAACTCCAGAGCCTCGGTGAAGCGGACCAAGATTTCATTTGTGATGCAGTCTGAGTTGTTGACGTTCACCTCAGTCATCTCGGGGTCATTGTTCTTCACTCTCTCCAGAGGCTCATCAAATATGCTGGGAGCTGCCTCCTCCTCCGCCTTGGCCGGTCCCTCAGAGGGCTTGGTGGGGCCCCCGGTCGTCTGTTTCTCGGGCGTTTTGGTCTTGCTCTCTTCCTTGGCTTCCTTTTCATGCAAGGGTTCATCCTTCTTGACTTTTTCATCTTCCTTTTTGGTGTCTGTGTTGCCAGCTCCTCTTTTTACCTTCTCATCCTCCTTTTTCATGTCTGTGTTCCCACCTGCTCTTTTCATCTCACCCTCTTTTCTAGTGTCTGTATTCCTACGCTCCCCTTTTACCTTCTCATCTTCCTCTTTCTTGACCACCTCCTTCATCTCCTCTCTCTTTTTATCCTTGTCCCTGCTCAAGCCTGTGTTCCTGTCACTCCCTTTCTTCTCCTCCTCCTTCTTGGTGGCCGCTGCCCTCTCCTCTTCCTTCTTGGTGGCCGCTGCCCTCTCCTCTCCTTTCCCATCCTTCCCTGCCTCCTTCTTATCCACTGCAGCCCTGACCCGGCCCTTGTCAATGCCCCGGATGATCTTCTCCTCCTTGGGCTTCTCACCACTCTTGCCATCAGCTTCATCTCTGTCTCTAGAGAAGCTCTTCTTTAAACCACCCCTTTTTGGCTCCTTTCCCAGATCTGAGTCCCGTCTGGGGCCCAGGGATTTTTTGCTGGCATCTCTGCCCCTTTCCTCTCCATTCTTGGCATCTGTCTTGGTCTCCACTTGCTTGCTTTCCTAAGAATTCAGAAAAGAAAAATAAACATGAAGAGATGGCTACACAGGGAGAGGAATGAGTATGGGGATGAGTGGGGGAGCGCTTACATAACCACCCTTGAGCCTCTGAAGGACAGCTGGTGTTTGGGAGAGTGGGGTGGAAGTCTCCATTGAGGGCAGCAAAAGAGGGATTCAGGTTCAAGCTGCAGAATGGGATGACATCAGACTCAGGGCCTAAGGGTCGTGAGATAACCAAACACCTGCAAAGGTCGTGGCGGTTCCTTTTATGGAGTATTCTCAGACCCAGAATTGCCCTTTCCTGTCACGGGTGATGTAGAAGGACTGCCTCCAAGCAGTGACCTGCCAATCACATTGGAACCTGAGGCAAAAGGAAAAATACTAACACTGATCACGTCTTTAAAATTCTGCATTGCTGTTCATTGCAAATTTTTTGCATTAATTGTATTTTTTAAAATATACATGAAGTCTGGGCACAGTGGCTCACACCTGCAATCCCAGCAATTTGGGAGGCCGAGGTGAGCAGATCACCTGAGGTCGGGAGTTTGAGACCAGCCTGACCAATGTGGAGAAACCCTAGCTCTACTAAAAATACAAAATTAGCCAGGCGTCGTGGCACACGCCTATAATCCCAGTTACTTGGGAGGCTGAGGCAGGAGAATCAGTTGAAGCTGGGAGGTGGAGGTTGTGGTGAGCCGAGATTTTGCCATTGCACTTCAGCCTAGGCAACAAGAGCGAAACTCTGTCTCAAAAAAAAAAAAAAAAATATATATATATATACACACACACACACACACACACACACACACACACACATACATGAGAACATCAGTTATCTTGCGCACTGAGTTTTTTGGCTTCTGCTTGTATTCTGTGCCCAAGGTGACTGCCTCACATCCCTCACTCTAGTCCTGGCCCTGCTTTTAGGAAGTAGGCCAGTAGTTCTGAGATACAGGACTTTTATCAGCCAATGCATTTCCAAAGGGAAAAAATGTTGGAGGGATCAACATATGCTAACATTTTATTTTGCCAATTAAAGATATTTGTAATTTTTTTAAAGAGATGGGTGTCTCATTATGGTGTCCAGACTGGACTCACACTCCTAGCCTCAAGCAGTCCTCCCACCTCAGCCTCCCAAAGTGCTGAGATTACAGGTGTGAGCCACCATGCCTGTCCTATATTTTAAAATTCTATTTACCATCATAATCTCATCAAAATAAGAAGAAACCAATTTTAAAGAAGGTAGGCATAATAAAGAATATACCTTAACATCAAATATATATTTTTAAAAATTCACAGTATCACCCTTTTTTTTTTTTTGAGACAGAGTTTCGCTGTTGTTACGCAGACTGGAGCACGATCTCGGCTCACCGCAACCTCCGCCTCCTGGGTTCAAGCAATTCTCCTGGCTCAGCCTCCTGAGTAGCTGGGACTACAGGTGTGCACCACCATGCCCAGCTAATTTTTGTATTTTTAGTAGAGACGGGGTTTCACCTTGTTGACCAGGATGGTCTCGATCTCTTGACCTCGTGATCCACCTGCCTCGGCCTCCCAAAGTGCTGGGATGATAGGCGTGAGCCACCGCGCCTGGCCCCTCATCCTTATTTTTAGTAAAAACTTAGCTAAGGACAAAGCACCTCTCTGTGGAGAGCCCTGGAATTCACTGGGTCAGCTTGTCTCTGGAGGACTCTGCCAGATTCTGGATCTTGGATTCTGTGTCCCGAGACACTGCGAAGTTTGTGAGAGAGGCCATGGGACCAGTCAGCTGAGCTGCAACGGGGCTTGGGTTTTATACTCAAGAGAAGCCACCCACACACACTGCATGGATCTCTGTTTCTTCTTCCATAAATCTGCACCAAGCCTGAGCCCTGTTTCGAGAGCACTTGTTTCTCATGTTCATCAGAGAAGCAGAGGAAGCGGCAGGATTGCCTGAGAGTAGATGTTCGACTTAACTGTCTAACTGTGATGGGGACCCCAGAGCAACGTGGACTTAAGGGGATGCTGTGATGTCCTCCCCTAAAGGTTCTTCAAGAGGAAGAGACTACAGTTTGAATATTTAAAAGGTTTTTTTGTTTGTTTGTTTTTTTGAGACAGAGTTTTGCTCTTGTTTCCCAGGCTGGAGTGCAATGGTGCGATCTTGGCTCACTGCAACCTCCGCTTCCCAGGTTCAAGCAATTCTTGTGCCTCAGCCTCCTGAGTAGCTGGGATTACAGGTGTGTACCACCACACCTGGCTAATTTTTGAATTTTTGTTAGAGATGGGATCTCACCACCTTGGCCAGGCTGGTCTCAAACTCCTCACCTCGTGATCTGCCTGCCTTGGCCTCCCAAAGTGCTGGGATTACAGGCATGAGACACCATGCTGGGCCAAAATGTTTTCTTTCAAGGGTGCCAGGTTGGTGTATGGGGAGAGGGGAAGGAAGAAAGGAAAACAGCTCTCTATCATGCTCTCTGGCCCAGGCAGCCTTTCTTCACACCCTCCACTCTTCCCAGTGGGAATGGAAAGAAAAAGGAGTCCTTTGGAAACCGTTTGTACCTGCAACACAAACACATGCCATTGGGGACCAATCCCTGGGTTTTTTTTTAGCAGCAATAGCCTTGGCTCCTCTGCTAGAATCACAATAGAGAGCCAAGGGGCACAGGGCCTAGTGAGACAGTGCCTTGGAATGTAACCATTCTAACCTCCTGCCCTGCAGGCCCCAAGGTCCAGCTGCACTGGAGGCCTCGCTGAGGCTGTGGTGATGGAGCAAGAGGCAGAGCACTCCCCCTCACACCCACTCAGGCCCCCAGGGAACTGGGTTTCACCCCAGAGCAGAACTGATGGTGACTTCACTGAACCTTGATTTGAAAAGGACAAAAGGAGAGGAGTATGTAAATAGAATGAAAACAAGGAAACCCAATGGATCAGCCCTTTCAGGAAGTTCTTATCATCATGTGCCCATAGTTTGACCAGGGAATTCCCTCTCCTATCCCCGATCCCATCAGGTTGACAGCGGTTCCATCACAGATTCTGTCCACTTTGGGAGCTGGGAGGTGAGAGCTGGAGGGGCCTGCGTCTCTGGGCCCAAGGTCTAGAGATCGGGCCCCCAGAGCAAAGACTCCTGCCCTCCCCTCTTTCTTCCCTTCCCAAAATGTGCACCCTTGGGAGTTCTCAGAGCCCACTGTGCACTGCATAGCTTCCCTTCCCAGAGTTCCCATGCTGCTTGTAGGCTTCACTCAGAGAAAGTGGGGATCCAGAGAGATGATGACTTACCTAACTTCACCTAGCAGGTTCAGGAAAAGCCAGCTTTCAGACCTGACTGTCTCATCAACAGCCAAGTCAATATAACCATCTCTGACCTTCCCCATCAGGGGCCAAAGCAGCTCCTTTCTGCCCACCCAGCATCCCTGGGGTGCCAGAGTGCCCAGCTGCCCACAGAGTCTCACTCACCAGCCTCCTCTTTTCACTCAGCCCCCTTCAGAGGTAGGACTCCCATTCAGACCTTCCCTCTCACCCCCAGCCAGGACTCAGTGTAAGCTTCTTTCTTCCCTGACACCCCACATCCTGACTTCTCCCCTTTCTTCTAATCTAGGACTACTCCCCACTCCCTCCTAGGGACCTCCCCTCCACCGGGGTCCTAGTTGGCTAGGATCTGCCAAGTGTCTGTTCTTGAGGAAGTGTGCCAACACTTTAAAAAGAACCTAATGAAAAACAGGCTGGAGGTGGGAGGGAAAGGGCTGATTAATCATCAGTTTCCTGCAAATAGCCAGGAATGAGAGGGGCTGGGGCTTGTTGCAGTCTGTGTAGCCCTGAGTGCTCAGACCTTGCCTTAAAAGGAGAAGGAGCCCAGAGTCCTCCCAGGGCTGGGATTTCTGTTGAGCTGAGCTCCCCGGAGCTGGCACATAGCAGAGCTGCTTCCTTCGTGCTAATCTGAAAGGGAGGCTAGGACAACTTCTTCTTGCTTCTAGAACTGATGGTGCATCCCAGTGACCTCCAGAGGTTATTTTTGCCTGTGTTTCTGTCTCTAAACCTTACCCAACTGTCTGTCCCTTATAGCAGGAGGAGTTTAGGTTAGATAGAATAAAGAACTTCCATACAGTAAAGGTCCACAGTCTTCTGGATGAGAAAACTAGGTAGCAACAGTTATTTTTTTTCTTTGCAAAAAAGCATTAGGGTTAGGGGAAGCCCACTAATGGATTTGGGAGTGGGATGGAGGCCGGGGAATGGAAAGGATGGCCTCTGAAAGCCTGTACACATGGAGGTACTTAGTGATCAGGCTCAGAGGTAAGAAGCAGCTCCTTGCCCTACCTCCTCCAGGCCTTAGGACTACATGATGTTGCTCTGTGTCTGCCATGTGCGTTAGGATCCAAGTTTAATGCCCTTGATAGGTTCACATGGGCAGAGCACAGCATCTTCTCCCTTATGTGGGCGCTTCTGATGCTGCTTCCTCTAGAAGTCTTACCTGATTAAACAGAGGAGAGAACGTTTCACCACCTCCATTGGCAAAAGATGAGAGGAAAAGGATTATTTGTCTATTCAGAGAGGTGTTTTTTGTTTTTGTTTTTTTTGAGACAAAATGTCACTCTTGTCCCCCAAGCTGGAGTGCAATGGCGCGATTTTGGCTCACTACAACCTCCTGCCTCCTAGGTTCAAACAATTCTCCTGCCTCAGCCTCGCAAGTAGCTGGGATTACATGCCACCATGCCTAGTTAATTTTTGTATTTTTAGTAGAGACAGGGTTTCACCGTATTGGTCAGGCTGGTCTTGAACTTCTGACCTCAGGTGATCCACCCGCCTCAGCCTCCCAAAGTGCTGGGATTACAGGTGTGAGCCACCATGCCTGGCCTATCCGAAAAGTTTAAAATGAGAACTTGCTGAGGGCAAGGCCAAGGGCCTGGCTTGCTGGCTCACGCTGTCCCCCACCAAGGTCACTTTTTTCCTTCCTGTGACCCATCACCTGTGGAGGAGGCATCTCCCTCTCTGCAGAGTCATTTGGCCCCATGTGGCTGCAAGGGAGGAAGGTC